ATATATTATGTAAACAAAAACTTTTATTTTGGATGTGATTAATCGCGATTAATCGTTTGATAGCACTAGTATAGACATTTTTTATAAAAACTACAAAAAATGACCAAAAACACAACAACATTACTTAAACATGAACTCTAAAATGAAATTGAAAATGGAAAATATCAAAAGACCTACATGGCGCCTGGTGGAAAAATATGCTAACTATTCATTAAAATTCTGTATGCAGTCTCCTATCTGGAGCAGTTATTACTTGTTAAGAGACATGAAGCCACACGCTTGCTGTCTTTGGTCAGGTAGATGCATTAACGCTCTAGAGGATATTTACGATGAGATCCGTGATCTGCAGTCTTGTGACAGTCTGCCGGGTTTGTCATGGTTCTTGTGTTAGCTGGTGAGATCTTCACTTAAGGCTTATGGGGTTCCTTGGGACAGACCTTTAACATCTCATCCCATGGCTCACTGGTTCGAACCTTTGAAGGGGAAAATATCATGGTTTCTCTTATTCATAGCAGTCTTGTCATGGAGAAATGTGTAACTGTTGGTATTACTCGAATCTGGGACAGAGATCATAGTTTTGGTTGGGAATTAATATGGCAAAATATTTCAGCCTCGTCTAAAAATTCTGCCACCAGCTGATAAATAATAATGTAGTCCATAGAATATATTACACACCCTTGAAACGTTTCAGAATGAAGCTTATTTCTTCCCCTGTTTGTCTCAAATGTAACACTGGGTCAACACTGGGTTTTCATTCATTACTGAATTTATAAATTTAGTTTTTGTTAAATATACTTTTAAACCTATTATATATATATTTTTTATTGCACTACTGCACCAAGTCTACACATCTACAGTATGATTTTTAATGTATTCTGTTGACTTGAACTTGAGTTCAGGTCTCATATAAAGCCTCTTTCTGCTGATTTACTGCTGTTTAGATGACCAACAAACATGCAGGCTTGTGTTAAAGGTCAGCAAATGGCATCATGACTGACCCGCTGCTGTCAAAGGCTGGTTTACACGTGTGTGTGTGTGTGTGAGTGTGTGTGAGTGTGTGTGAGTGAGTGTTGCTGGAGTTTGTTCAGTGTTCTCTCATCATCATGATGATGATGATGATGATGATGATGATGAGGAGGAGGATGAGGATGATGATGACGAGGAGGAGGATGATGATGATGAGGATGATGATGACGAGGAGGAGGATGATGAGGAGGAGGAGGAGGAGGATGATGAAGATGATGATGATGATGATGAGGATGATGATGATGAGGAGGATGATGATGATGATGATGAGGATGCAATGTTTGTTCTAGTGCTGATATTAAATATGCAAAAATGTGTACATGGTTTTAAAAAAAAAATGAAAAAAAGTTTAAAGTGTAAGCAAATGTTAAAATTTGTTTGCGTGGCATTTACTACATCTGTTTATTTATTAACCAACTTAGTGAGTCATAATTGGCTGTTGAATGCATGGAAGGAATTACCAGTGCCTTGTTGGTGTTAAAAATGCTTACTTATGTTTAATTCTCCACCAGAAGGTGGCATCTGGCTTTTTTTTTTTTCCTCCCTCTTCCCTTTCAGTTTTTTTTTTAATGTTTCTGCATATTCCTTATGTTTGGACTCAAAGGTTCATACGCAGAATCGGATGAAGATGAGGCAGAGGACAGCAGACCGTCCTTTCATGATGATGATGATGATGATGATGATGATGATGATGATGAGGAGGAGGATGAGGATGATGATGATGAGGATGATGATGAGGAGGAGGATGATAATGATGAGGATGATGAGGAGGAGATGATGATGATGATGAGGATGATGATGAGGAGGAGGATGATGATGAGGATGAGGATGATGATGATGAGGAGGAGGAGGATGATGATGATGAGGATGATAATGTTGAGGTACATAAGGAATATTGCCTTGGCTAATAGCTGATTAAATGTAAAGTTTATTTTATTTCATGTAATGTAAATGTTTTTTCTTTATGGTTTTAGTTTTAGTTTGTGTTTGAACGCTGCTTCTGGACTCCATTATCTTCAGCTGATTGATTGATTGATTGAGAGGAAGTGGACTGTGTCGGTGTGATGTCACAGGAAGTGACTCCAGACGCCTGCTGAGCTCTTCCTCTCTCTCGCTGTACACAGATTTCTCCATTGACTGAACTCTTTTGTTTGGTTTGTCTGCAAACACAAACCCAGAGATCGAGACTCCTGTCTCCTGTTTCTCTTCCACAGAGAGTGTTGTGTTATAAGATCGTAGTGTTAGATCACGCTGCAGGATGCTTTATTCCAGCGCTCGCTGCTCTGATGTAATCTGTGGCCGCTGCTGCATTATTAGCAAAAAACACTCAACGGCTCAGATTCTGCAGGCCAGAAACGCTTGTGGGAAAGTCAGAAAGTCTTTTGGGAATTATACACGTTTGATGTTTGTCTAAAGCACATCCTTTGAAGCAGAAACATTGTTAGAGTTTCATTATTATTATTATTATTATTAATGCATTTATTGTAATATTTATAATATAATGAAACTGAAATATAATTTTTTATATTTTACATATGTAACTAATATATTTAGAAATAAAACAACATTAATAATAATGATGATGATAATAATCACAATCATAATCATAATATTTATTATTATTATTATCATCATTATTATTATATTGTACTATTTATAATATTATAATGCAACTGAATAATTATTACATTTTATAAATGTGGCTAATATTATTAAAAAATAAAACACCATTGATAATAGCAACAAAATTAATTTAATTTTTGTTATATTTTAAGTATTTTAAATATTTATTATTACATTTTATATTGTAATATTTATAATACTATTAATAATAAAACAAAAATATTATTTGTTAATGCTTATACTAAATATTATTTATATTTTAGTATATTAAATATTTTGAAATATTCATCATTGTTTTGTTTTAATTCTAAATATATTAATTCAATTTTACCACACACACACACACACACACACACACACACACACACCTCTGCATTGTACATAATTATACAACTTATTTCTAATTTAATTTATCGGTGTTTATCATTTACCACATATACAGTATTTATGTATTATATATATATGTGTGTGTGTGAAAAATAGGAAAATAATGTGATAATAAATGTTTAAATAAATCACAAATACACACACACACACACACACACACATATATATATTTAATATATTACTGCCTTTAATGCATGCAGACTAAAAACTAATACAAAAATAATTTTTCCTGTAATACGGTAAGGCTTTATGAAAATCTGTTACTTTTCCCACTGAACATTTTGACGTAATTATTATATTGTAACATTTATAATATTCTTAATAATAAAATTTAGAAATATATACATTTTAATGCTTATATAAAATATTAATTTTTATATGTATATTTTAATTCAGACAAAATAAAAAATAAATAATATTAGTATTATTATATTGTTTTATTTCTTAATATATTAGTAAAATGTTACTACAGTGGTTTAAATGTATTTTTTATATTTGTGTTTTTAAATGTTATTTTATTATTATTGAAAAATAATGAACATAATTAAAGTAATTTTTGCTGTAATGCAGTAAAAGTGTTCATAAAGATCTGTTTCTTCTCCCACAGATCGTCCCGTCCATCACATCAGTCTCCATAGCAACAGAACTCTGGAGGAGGAAGTGATGTCGATACAGGAAACGATGCGTTCCGAAGACGGCTCTCGTTCCCGCCGGAAGCGCTTTCTGTCGTATCCGCGATTCGTGGAGCTGATGGTGACGGCCGACGCCAAGATGGTGCGACATCACAGACACAACCTGGAGCACTACATCCTCACAATCATGTCAGTAGTAAGTAAATCATCCCTTCATTCTCTTCTCTCTCGTCTGGGTGTTACAGTCAGAGAACCGCTCATTAAATGGTTTCAGTGCTTAATCAATAACTGATTCCATCCCTCATGTGTGTGTGATAGTGAGTTACTCTCTAATAGGCTGGGCTGGACTGTGGTTTGATATGAAGCGTCATTGACCACTCCGTATATTTTGAGCTCATGAGCCGGTTTTTGGCTTTGAATCCAGATTTAAATGAGTCAAAACAACAGATGGACAATATTTGCACTTAATGAAGCAGGTGCCTTCAGAAATATCATCATAATGATGCTTTGATATGTGCTGTAGTACTGTATGATTACCATATTTGGTACTTAGGAAAATAACATGGTACTTTATGGTACTTTTTTGTTATTGAGTAACATTCACACTAAAGATTCAGGTCGTTTTATCTAAGTTTTAATTTAATTTAATTTAATTTAATTTAATTTAATTTAATTTAATTTAATTTAATTTAATAATTTAATTTAATTTAATTTAATTTAATTTAATTTAATTTAATTTAATTTAATTTAATTTAATTTAATTTAATTTAATTTAATTTAATTTAATTTAATTTAATTTAATTTAATTTAATTTAATTTAATTTAATTTAATTTAATTTAATTTAATTTTATTTGATGTTATGTTATATGTTATGTTATGTAATTTAATTTAATTTAATTTAATTTTTTACATTTAAATATGTTTATGTAGTTTTTATTTTATTTATTATTATTTTTATTTTTTTTAATTTTTTTTTACACTTAAATATGTTTATATAGTTTTTATTTTATTTTGTTTTATTTTTTTATTTTATTTTATTTTGCCTAGTTAAACATCTAGTCATGTAGATCATTTGACAACCTTTTTAAAAAAATTATTATTTTCTACTTTTTGACTCATTATTTGATCTGACTGCCAGTCATTTTTACAAAAAAAAAATCATTTTTATTTCAATTTTATTAGTTATTTTAGTACTTCAAGTTAAACTAAACAATAATTAGAAATACTAGCTGAAATCAAATATTTGTTAGCATTTATTTCAAGTAACAAAAATAAAAAAAACTGTAATGGGTTTTAGTGTTAGTTTTAGTTAACGATAAGAACCCTGGTCACAGGTCAGTCCGGGTCTGATCGTGTGATCTGATTGGGTTTTGGTGTGCTGATGATGTCATAGCGGTGTGGTTCTCTCAGCCAATCAGAAGACTGCGTTAGTGTGTCTGTCTGTAAATGCAGCCGTCTGTCTGAGGTTTTCCCTTCGGCTTCTTCTAAACGCTCTGCAGATCATACCTCGAATCTGTTTTTAAACTGGTTTAGGAGATCCAGAGCAGGGTGAACCCTCAAACATGACTGGTCTCTCAGTATATTTGGCAGCGCAGTGGTTTGTGGGTATTTTGGACTGAACTGTGTCCTGTGTTGTCTGTGCTTTCAGGTCGCTGCGATCTACAGAGACCCCAGTGTAGGAAACCTCATCAACATCGTGATCGTCAAACTCATCGTCATACACAACGAACAGGTACAGCAGAACCAGGGACGTCTGGGGATGTAACTGTATTGTCAATATCGCCATAGCTAAACGATATTATCATGATCACGTGACGATATGAAACGATAGGTCTTCTGAGCAAAAAGTGTAGTTTTTAAAATATATTTAAAGTCTTATTCTAACATAAGAGGTCTTTAGAGTTGTGTTTTGGGGCATTATGCTTTGGCACAGTGTCTGTCAAACGAACTCGAACTGAAAGCACAATATGTGTCTTAATCTGTTCATCAAGTCTGTTTGCGCTGCGTGTTTAAAGTGAAGCGCACACTTCGTTCAGACGATCAGCTCGTGATCCGGTGTTTTCAGCGTCTCAGAACGACTCGTTCACACTGAATGAATGCAGTCAACTCCTTTAGTTTAGTTAGGCTTTATTTTTAGTAGCAGATGATTACAGCGTTTCGCTAGATTTGTAGTGAGACGTGTTTTTGTAAGCCTGTTTTCACTGAAGCTGGAGTTTCTGTCAAAATAAAAGCTAAAAGTGCAGTATATGAATCGCTGACAGCTAGTGGTTTAAATGCAGTCCAAATTCACAATATCTCTTCAAGTGTAGAAATTAGGAAAGAAGTATTGTAATTTCCCTACTGTAGTGTAAAACTAAAATAATATACCTATGAAATATGCGTTTTCATTTATTTTACAGTGCAAGTGTTTTACAGTATATGGCTATTATTACTGTGATTGTTGTTATTATTATATTCTATTCTAATTTGTTTGGCTTCCTAAAACACCAATGTGAGTGTAATTTAGACTGAGACAGAGTATATCACAACTAAATAAAAAGAGGCTTGAGTCCCCTTTAAAGTTCAATTCACTGACTTTTTTCTGACTTAAGTTTTCTTAGTTAAGAAACATGGGTTGGAGCTCTTAATTTTGAGCTCTCAAAGTGCATTAGATAGAATAATTTAACTTTAAAATGTAAAAAATTTTCGTTTATAAAGCGGATAGTTCCGGTGCTTGATTCTGATTGGCTGAGCCGCGTTCAAAGCTGTTGTAAATGACTCTACAAAGTAACATACAGCTTTGTTTACTTCTGTGTGTTGCTCAACCACTTTGTTGCAACCACAACTGATTCTGAGGAACTACATTGTTTGGTGGAAGAATACTGTTTTTATTTATATCATTACACTTTATTTGCTCTGTTTTATTTTGTGAAACCGTACTACGTATATGGAATAACCGTTTTATAAAAGCAGTAAGCCCCGTGAAGCCGTGGTTTACAGTGAATTTATAACAGGTAAGGGGTTTTTAGGCACTCCGCTCCGCGTCTAACAACGCCCCTTAGCTGTTATAAATTCACGGTAAACCACGGCTTCACGGGGCTTATTGCTTTATTTTTTTCCAAGTCTCCAACTGTCTTTTTTTGTTTAAATATCGCAATAAATATCATATCGTGGACTTCACATCGTGATATTATCGTATCGTGAGATTTTGATATGGTTACATCCCTAGTGACGTCTCTTTAAGATCTTGGCTGAAGACTACAGTAATCTCTCACAGGTCTCATCTAGAGCTCAGCAGCGTCTCAAATTGTTGCAATTGTTTTAAAAATGAGTGACTATTTAAGTGTTTTTCTTGCTGAGTAAATCATCAGTGTTGGTAATGCTTATTGCTGCATAGTGTTTCACATTCCAATTTAAATTTATGAATACATTTAATGAATTTAAATAAAAGATGCAATTTTAATTTTTTACTTTTTTTTTTTTTTGATGATGACTGCCAACATTTTTACATAATAATAGTTTTGAAAGTGCAAATTAACTATTTATTTGAATTAAACACCTTTAAATAATTAAACAACTTATCATGTGCTTGTTGCACTGCATTCTGTTTCGCATTAAATTAAAAAAATATGTTTTTTCTTTATTTTTCATTGACTCAATATCAGAGTTATTATAGTTAATTAAACTAAAACCATGAAAAAATATACATATATTTTAATTACTCGAAATAAAATAAGAATGAAAAAAAAAAAACTTTATTTTATTTCAGATATTTTCTAAAATAACTCAATTTTCGAGAATTGACACAGTTTAATATTTGTGTTTTTAAAAATATTTTTTCTCCTTTTTGACTATTTTGACTTCTCCTCAAACCACCAAAAAAGTAAAAAAAAAAAAATAGTTTGAAAAAGCAGAATATCTGTTTATTTTTTCTTGATATTTTAAATTTTGTCATTTAAAAATGGTTTGTTTTCTCCTTTTGGACTCTCATCAAACTGCCAAAAATGCATAATAAAAAATCGGGTGAACAGTAAAATAACAGTTTTCTTCATGCATAATGAAATAAAAACTGATATTTTAATATGATGGGATATTGAGAAGATCTCAGTCCTTTCTCATCAAACACTCTGAGCTCCTCCACATTCAATTCTATACTTTAAACACATTACGACTAGCAACTCATTCTTATGGAAATTCAGGAGAAACTTGAAACAGTGAAATGATGCATGACGTGCCGTGAGACATGCGAGAGCATCATCCGAGCCGTTATTCCTCTGTAATAACTGGGTTTGGATAATAAAGTGTGTGTTTTCCTCAGGAAGGGCCGAATATAAACTTCTACGCCACTGCGACGCTTCATAACTTCTGCATGTGGCAGCAGAGTCACAACGTTTTGGACGACAGTCACCCGGGTCATCACGACACGGCGCTGCTCATCACCAGGTGACCTGAGCTTGACCTTTGACCTCATGACCTCTGCCTTCTACAGTGTGCTTCTGTTTGAGCTTGAGCTTTCAGCATAAACACTATTATGGGATGTGTGTTTGTTTCTCAGGGAGGACATCTGCCGAGCAAAGGACAAGTGTGACACGTTAGGTAAGATTTCACACTACTGTCCTGATCTGTTATTTCTGCAGTATGTGTGCGGTATTAAAATGTGCTGCATGCAGCTGGATGAGATACTGTATCCCACACTGCAGCGTACTCAGGTTGGTTTAAAAAATGCAACTTTTATTTTTTTGCTGAATTAAACATTAGTGTGGTCATGTACAGCAGTGCTTGTTGCGCATACAGTTTCATATTAAATTTTGAAATAACATTTTTTTTTACTTTTTATTTGAAAGAACTCCCAAAGTATGATTTATTTTTTATGTATTATTATTATTATTATTATTAATATTTTTCACAAAAAGCTATTAAATGTGAAATATGTTTTTATTTGACTATTTGTTCTTTCTAAATTAATCAATATTTTAAATATTTTTCTCCTTTTTGACTCATTATTTGATTAGACTGCCAAAATGTTTATATATATATTTTTTTTCTTTTATTATTTTTACAAAAAGGTTTGAAAATGTGAAATATCTATTTATTTGACTGTTTTCTTCCTAAATGAATCAGTCATTTTAATAATATTTTTTTCTCCTTTTGACTCATTATTTGATCAAATTGCCAGAGGTTTGTTTTAAAATGACAAAATAACTATTTATTTTTCTTGCTGAATAAAACATCAGTGCATGCAGTCTTGTAGGTCATGTTACAATAATGCTTATTTGCTGCATACGAGTTAAATGAAGTAATACATTTGATTCATGTTTTGTTTTTAAAATACTATTTTAGTGTTTTTTCTTCTTAATATAAGTTTTAAAAGTTTTTTTCAAAACTAGTTTGAAAATGCAGCATACCTGTTTTTGAATATGCTGCTGTATAATCAACTATTTAAAAAATAGTAATTTTTTTGGCTCATTATTTTGACTTGTGTGGGGTCACTGAATGGACTGAAAGCAGGTTCCTGAAGCAGAACCAGATCCTGCAGAAAGTCTGTCAGCTGTGCTCCATTTGACTGTCATCAGCGTGTCGTATAGGACCTGTGCCGGGCCCCAGCAGGTGTTTAGGGACCAAAAACCACCAAAAGCATTGGATAATAAAGTCATGCTCTCTCTCAGAGATGGAAACACGAGTCTACGACTTGGACTCGAGTCGCACTTAAGTTGCATAAATAGAGGCTTGCGACTTGACTTGGACTCGTGACTCATGAGACTCGTAAAAAACTCAAACTTACTGGTTTCAGAAATGTTTAGATGGTGTTTTCTTTTCATCTTGCCACTGTATAATGCATAGCTATTAAAGTAGTGTTCATAACCGCAGCGCTGCTTTGTTTACAGCGGCAAACAATAAAACACTTTATCGCTGCTGTTCCATAAGCGCCACCTGCTGGCAGAGAGTGAATCTGCATTCTCATCCAGCCTGTCTGCTGCTTTGTTTCGTGCAGATATTTTATGCAGTAGCCTATAGTTTCACAAAACTAAAGTCAGACCATTCTGTAATTGCTTCAAATGTTCAAATTATACAATCCAGTTCAGATTAAAAGATGCTCATGCTGCATGTATGCTGCATCTTTGTTTGGATTGTGTTTAAAATACTGTGTTTGCCTCTAATTTTAAATGAAAAGAGCACAGACAAAACCTTAGTTTGTTTATATGAGATTTCTTTTATTTGTGTTATTCATGTGTGGCCCTGGAGCACAAAAGCAGTCATAAGTAGCATGGTTATATTTGTAGCAAGAGCCAAAAATACATTGTAGTTTACACACTGCCTACGAGACTTTCGTCCTTCAGAAAAAAATTCGGACCAGGTTCGATTTTCTGCGTTTTTGCATACGTAGCATGCATTTTGATAGGAAAGGATGACAAATACGGAAAAAAAAACAGAAAAACGCAAACGAAAATATCGAACTCGGAGTGCAAGAACCTTAAGTTTTTTGAGGAAAACATTGCAGGATTTTTCTCCACATAGTGGACTTCAATGGGGATCAACGGGTTGAAGGTTAAAAATGCAGTTTCAATGCAGCTTCAAAGGACTCTACACGATCCCAACCAAAGAATAAGGATCTTATCTAGCCAAACGATCGGTCATTTTCTGAAAAAAATTTATATTTATCCACTTTTCAACCACAAATTCTCAGCTTGCTCTAACTCTGTCTTTACACATTGCGTAATCCTGTTGGAAAGGTCACGCGCGATTAGTTCTCCGTCTAAACTCTCCCCCAACTTTAAAATCATCAGACATCGTTGTTTTACCTTTTTTGTAAAGGGTATGTGACTTTCTTTGCATCTCAGAGCTAGAGCAAGCCGAGCATTTGTGGTTAAAAAGTGTATAAATATGAATTTTTTTCTGAAAATGACCGATCGTTTGGCTAGATAAGGCTGTTATACCTCGGCTGGGATTGAGTAGAGCCCTTTGAAGCTGCATTGAAACTACATTTCGACCACTGAAGTCCATTATATGTAGAAAAGTCCTGGAATGACATGGGGGTGAGTAAATCGTCAGGAAGTTTGTATTCTGGAAGTGGACTTATCCTTTAATAACAGAGAGCCGTGTTAGTGAGGTTACGTGAGCCCGGAGCTTGTAGGAGCTGCGCTTCGAGTCGTGTAAATGAGTGCAGTGTGAAAGAATGACAGATATTCGTCCGCCTCTCATCCGGAGGGAATTTCTGCGCCGCAGTGGGACGACAAGGACAAACCGACGCTCAGATTCAGATTTCCGAAAGCAAAGCCTAATCACAGCAAAATAAAGTTACATTTACAGTCTGTCCTCCAGATAATGTTGTTTCTCAGTGTCTTTGTCTCGTTTTCCAGGACAAACATCAAGTGTCATAAATCAAGATGTGTTGAATGCAAAATAACATCAGATAGAAGTCAGATAGAATTAAGTGAGTTTATGCTTTT